GATCATAGCAGGAATGTCTAGATTGTTAACACTCGTTGCTGTTAAGTGCCATCGCGTTGGTTGTGACTCGCAGTGACCCTAGGGACAACAGGGCACAAGAAGGCCTGGCATGCTCCCATTGTTGCAGCCACTCTGCCAGTCCATGTTATCGAGGGCCTCCCTCTTTGTCACTGACCCTCTGCTTTCCCAAGCACGATGTCCCTTTCCAGGGACTGGTCTGTCCTGAGAGCATGTCCAAAGAACCTGAGACAGAGTCTCACCATCTTCTAAGGACCATTCCGGCTGCGCTTCTTCCAAGACCTATTTGTTGGTTCTTTTGCAAGTCCATGGCACTTTCAATATTCCTTGCCAACACCATAATTCAAATCAGTTTCTTCAGTCTTCCGTATGCAATGCGCAACTTTCACATGCACATGAGGCGATTGAAAAGACAATGACTTGGGTCAGGCACACCTTAATCCTCAAAGTAATACACTTCTTTTTCCATGCCTAATGCAATGTGTTGTTTGAGCTCTTGGTTCCTGTCTTTGTGAGCATCGACTGTGGATCCAAGCAAGATGAAATTCTTGATAACTTGCAAATCGTTGAGCATATTCGAGAACGTATAGCTTGCCACAGTAATAGGCAAAAATGGGAAAACCAAGTGATCCTCTCACAGAAGCTGGAAAGGAATCTACGAGTATTCTGTCTTTACTTATGGTAAACTCTCTTTAAAATATGGACCAATACAAATTTCAGAACAAAATAAAACTACATCTCAATTCAAAAGCCAATGCTTGCACCCCAGCCAGGTTGCTGTGTGCTCCAGGGTCACTCCACACTGGTCACCGCACAAGCCCCACTTGGGCGCGCTGACTACACACTGCCCAGGCTGCGGGCGCTTCTCTAGCACCGTGACCGGTGCACCCCATTATTATATTTTTAATAAGCCATTCAAGATTTAGCAAAGGACCTTTATGTGGCCATGCCCTAAAAAAAAATCTTAACATTGCCCTTTTCCATTTTCCAGTAAATAGCTCTTTTGGAAAGAAAGGCATTATTTCATAAGTAACTTCTGTGATATAAAACTTTATAAAGGAATAATTTGTCTCTTCAAATCAAAGGGTATTTTCACAGAGAACTCAGAACCTTGACGCATAGACCTACCTGTCAACATAGAACCAGATTATTTATGGTAATTTTGACCCTGATGAAGAGCAGGCAACCGCATGTCCAAAGAGTCAATAGCAGGTTGTCTTAGGGCAGTGGTTCTCAACCTTCCTCATGCCGTGACCCTTGCATACAGAGCTCCTCATGTTGTGGTGACCCTCCAACCATAACATCATTTTCATTGCTACTTCCTAACTGTCATTTTGCTACTGTTGTGAATCGGGCGACCTCTGTGAAAGGGTTGTTCGACCCCCAAAGGAGTTGTGACCCACAGGTTGAGAACCACTGTCTTAGGGAGAAAAATGTCCCCAAACTTAATTTTCCGTTTGCTGCAGTATAAGAGGGGCTTCTAAACAACAGAGAGGGCACTGGCAGTTTAATTGAAAAATTTTCACCTATCCTATGGAGGTTGGGTTGGATTCCTGGACAATGCCATCCACATGGAGGCTCTGGTATTGCTAGGGTGCTAAACAGATTTCAGTGTACCTTCCAGACTACAACAGACTCGAGAGAAAGGCCAGGTGATTCCATTTAGGAAAACCAGCCAATGAAAACCCTGTGAATCACAATGCTTCCATCTCCAACCTATCACTGTGTGTGGTGTTGCCACAAGGCCGGGGCTCACCCAACAGCAGCTAGCAGTGAAACCACACAAACAGCACATGGTCTCCATTTCAACCCTGACAATCTAGCACCCCAAAGAGAGTTCTTTATCAAAATGTCTTAAACCAGATCACATTGCTGCAAGAGTTGGTTTCTTCCCTGCACGACTCCCAATAGTAGGGATGTGAGCCCTCCCATAAAGCTGTCAAGCAAATCAACGCATGGTACAATAAAAAGTATATTTAGTAATTTCATTTTCTCCTATCCAAGATAGTAACAGAAGGAAAGAGGAACGTAGCGTTGTGGGAATTCTCAGCAGTTCTCAAGAGTCTGTTACCATAAATCTAGCAGGACTTACCAACAGGTATATTTTATCAGAAAACTCGTTAAAGAGAGCCCTCAGCTTTCTTATCTCAGTTACCTTCTACTAACCTTCCTCTTCAACTTGACAAAGGACAGATAAATGCCTCCTCACACTGTCAGTTTGTCTACAGACACTGCACACGCACACCTGAAATGAAAGTCAGTTATCTGATATATAAACTGATGTCTGGATTGCTAGAGCTTGACTTCCTTCTACTGAAAATTGTTCAGTTCTGTATGCCTTATAGATTCATGCCTTTCCAAATATACTACACAAGCAAATCGTAAAGACTTTTCATATATCAAGAGATAACGTGTGTTAATTGCTTTAGTGAATTTAAAAACCTGTTAAATGGCACCTGTGATCCAGAAAATTACCCCTCTCTCTCTCTCACTGGAATGTAAACTCCAAGAAACATGGCCTTTCTTAATCCTGCTCACCACTAGGTCTCCAATACCTAAGCTGTACTTGGTGAATAGCAGGTCGTCAAAGCACTTGCCCAACAAATGAACACAAAAACACAGCCATCATGCTTTCAACCATCCAAATATGACCTGTGAAGCGGTGGTGACTGTTCTAAGGTCGACAGAAGTTATGAGAAACAAAGACTAGAGTAGGCTGGGAATCCGAGGAAGCGGGGGAAGTGGTCATTGGGTCTTCCTGAAAGGAAAGACTTAGGTGAACAAAGAGATGGGGAGTAAGATTAGCGAAGACCGGCCACAGGGACAAAGTCAAATGGTGCGCGATGGGGAGCAGCGGAGGCCAGATGGGGCGAGAAGAGTGAAGCCGGACTGCAGAAGGTTTGGGGAATCTGCAAGTGGATCCCATTTGGTTGGCATGTTCACTTTTCAATCATTTTCCACATGCCCAATTTAAGCTCTCGAGAAAATTGAGTCTCAGAGAAGACAAGAATCTTAAACAGCAATAGGATAATGGGACCACAAGCCAATCATGTGGGCCCTCATTAAGATAAAACATGGGTTATGATAAGTGTTACATTATAGGAAGTTGCACATGCAAGAACCCAGCTGCCAATGAGTTGGTTCTTCTTCCGGGAGACCCCATAGGTATCACAGAGAACAATTTCCATTGGTTCCCATGGCAGACCACCAGACCGGTCTCACAGGGTATATCCGTGCAGTTGCCACCTTCCAACACGTGGCTGAGAAACTGCTTTGTGTGCACCACCCAGGGACCTTTGGTAAATTCCAGTTTACTGAAAAGTAATGGTTTGTCAAATGAGGAAAGCCATAGGTCAACATGTCAGGAGACATTCTCTTTAAGTAGAGTCTTACTTTTTAATATCACAGGTGGGAACACTGAGCTGATTTTTTTTTAAACTGCAACTTTTCACTAATAACCAGAGAATTACGCCATTCACTAAATCTGGAAGAACTAGAAATATGTACACGTCAAAGGCTTCAAATGCTTCTTTATTAGAGAGTCGAAATTTTGAAGACAGCTTCGGATAAACCCAGCAATTGAGATGCTGTAAATATCCTTGCTCTTTCACCAATCTCTAGCTATATTTAGTAGCATGGTTTCCTTTGTTCCAGAGTTACACTGTGATAACTCCATAATTTAAGTTCTCAAAGGCAGAGTTCCGTGGGCATATTCATTAAATAGATGGCTGGACAGAAAACAGAGGAGTGAACCATGGACCGATGGCACAAAGATCTTTGGGATGGGATGGATAGAATGGCGCACATGTCTGGATCCTAGAGACTACGTAGTGTGAAACTTCCCAGGACAGCATAAACATGTGTTCAATATTTAGCAACCATCAGAACTGGGCACAAAATGGATTAGAGGAAACAAGAAAGTGTGGGATGTAAGGGGGGCGAGTGATTCTTAGCAAGGCTGGTTAGTGATGGTTATACGAACAGAGGTGGCTTTCCTACGAAGGTAATAACATTTCAGCATCAGGTTCCCTCAGCTGCAGAAGTCCTTTCCAAGGCCCAGTGAAGAGCCAAGTGTCCATATGCTTGTATATTTCTCTGAGTTGCCCAAATAAGGTTCCACAGAATTCATCTTTATACATAAAGAAGCTTCTCCCATCAACTTCACGCCCACCAGCGCTGGGTCTGCCCTGGCTGAGATGGGCCCGCAGCAGGAGGGGCCTGAGTCACTGAGCAGGAGAATGGGAGGTGGGGAGTGCTGGGCAGAACCCTTTTGAAAAGACCACTTCCTATGTTCACGGCTTTCCTATCACGACTTTCCTTTCTACCTCACATCTTCCCCACCAATGAAGTCACGGGAGACATTCAGCTATTACAAACTTCATGTCAAGCTTCGAAGTGCTTTTTAATAGCAGAAATATTTGGTTCACGTGTGGGCTTTGTAGCTATGGTAAATACCTCCTAGTTATCTGTCGCTGCTGTTATGCCACACCTCCAATTTGGAGGAGAAATTCTGCATATGCATAGAGGCACTAAGAAAGAGTACTGAGCTATATCTGAGCTCTTTTGTGAACGGCTTCCTTTTATTTCTAATTTTATTGCTCATGCTTGCATGGCATTGTGCTGGCGCTGGGTGGGCAAGCACGGGTAGAAGGGCAAGGAAGATTGCAGGCAGTTCTGGGTTGTGGAGGGACTTGAAGTGTCTTGAAGGGACTTGTGTGTCTTTGTTGAATTTGTAGGTAAGTCTAACAGATGCAGGAGGGGCTTATTCAGCCTGACTTCCGGGCCAGAACAGGCTCACAGCCTGTCACACAATTACTTTTTTTTTTGTTTTCCCAGTCTCCAAAGACTTTATTGTATCGGTCAGTGTGCTTTGGAAGGAGACAGGACATCAATCCTACTGCTTCCAACCCCAGAAGAAAAATGGTACACAGACAGGCACAGTGTCAATGGGCCCACAGGGATGGGACTGCTTTGTCCGCCTCTTACTCGTAGATCCAGTCACAGCCACAAGACTTGTAGTCCACCAGTTCCTCCGGCTTAAACCAGAGGCTGATTTCTCTCTCAGCGCTCTTGACCGAATCACTGCCATGAATGATGTTCCTGCCAACTTGAATACAGAAGTCCCCTCGGAGGGTGCCTGGCTTAGAATCCGCTGGGTCGGTCTCTCCCAGCATCACCCGGGCAGTCTTCACCACATTCAGCCCCTCCCAGACCACGGCCACAATTGGTCCCGAGTTCATGTCCTTCACCAGCCCTGGGAAGAAGGGGTGGTCTTTCAGGTCAACGTAGTGCTGCTTCAGGTGTTCCTTGGAGGCCTGAATGAGCTTCATGCCCACCAGATGGAAGCCCTTCTGCTCAAAGCGCTTGATGATGTCGCCCACCAGGCCGCGCTGCACGCCGTCCGGCTTGATGGCGACCAAGGTGCGCTCACTGTTGGCATGGTGCGAGTCCGGTGGTGGGGAGCGGGCGGCCGGATCGCCTGTCCCACAATTTAACAGCTGAGTGAGCAGCACGTGGGGTTGGTTAGCATAAAGACGCTGTTGCCTGCAGGGGTTGCTTCATGTGCTTCAAGCAAGGGCAAATTCACATAGTATTAAAAGGCCCGTCCCAGCTGTCCTGTCTGCAGTTTGTAACCAGGGACATCTTTTATGACATCATCAGGTGGCCATTTGCTTCTAGCTTCTTGAAGGTTCAGTGGCCAAGCAGGCTCCTCAATGTGCTACCAAGGCGTTTCAAGGGCATGGGCGTTAGTAGACTTTGGACATGAAACTTTGCAGTGGTTTCCAGAGAAGACATTAACCACCACGAATATGGCATAGAGATGGATAAGTCCAATAACTTGGGAGACTCCTGTCTGATAGTTGATGCATAGACAAGTATGTGCAGGTACATTATCAGGACACTATCTTCAGAAGTCACATATTTGAGAACAGAAACATAGGAACAAAGGTCACAGGTTAAGCGTTTAGGCTATGCCCTGTGTTAAGCAAGATTATTTTGCTTCTTTATGACCCTTAATTATTTTATGCACAGATTCTAGGAAAATACGACTGTACTCCATAAGTTAACACTTGACACTTTCATTCCTCAGAGTGCAACGTTTTGGAAGTCTAGATATGTTTATTAATTAGTGATTATTAACACCCAGTAAACAACATTATGTCTTGTAAAAACACAATCTCTCTTCACAGCATGAAGCTGAAATCTATTATTCCCTGATTCCATATGCTGAAACACACTCAAATGGTCGCAAATGACCTTAAGCATTAAATAAATGTAAATTAGGACAACATAGAAAATGTGCTTTTGATTGATAACTAAAAGACCAGCTTGAAAATCATGCCCCCAAAGGGACTCATCCCAGGAAGGATCTGGCAGCCTGCACTGTAGAGCAGGGGCTGTCCCAAGAATGCAGCGCGCGCGCACACACACACACACACACACACACACACACACACACACGAGGGCAGACTCAGTCACCCTCAGGACTGACTGAAGGGCTGGCTTGTTCATTTATGTGACAAACAGCACACTGCCCCCGGTGCCATCAGCTCCCTCTCAACTGTCTCCTGTAGGACTGAAAATACATACAAGTAGTCATCCTATGTATGGTTGACTGATGGAGCACTCACACCTGCCAGCAATGTCATGCAACCCCAACCCAACGACATCCAGTGGATGGCAACTCACAGCCATCCTAGCGGTCGGAGCAGAACTGCTCCATGGGGCTTCCAAGGTGTACACCTCACGGGAGCAGGCTGCCTCGTCGTCCTCTTGTGGTACATGCAGGAGGATCCGAGTCCCCAACTTTTCAATGAGTAGTAAAGCTAAGTAAGGTATGTCTGCACCTGTTCCCACTTACCCACATTTAGCAAAGGGACTCTTTTGCCTATGTATGGACACATCGTTGTATTCACTCATAAATATAAAGAGACAAAATCATCGCTATTATCTATTCCCAACATGTCACCAACTTTAGTTTTAAGCTTGCTAGCTGTTCTATCCCTCTCCCACCCCCCTCCAGCCCCAAACTGGAGGAACATCCAGTAAGGAACATTCTCCAGTAGGAACACTGAGGTAAGAGGAACATCCTGAAAACAAGGGAAGCTAAACACATTGAAGATTGACAGAGTGACAGTGACAAATTTAAAAAAATCATTAAAACAGTGAATGGTTTCTCCTAACACCGTCTGTGGTTAGGCGCATAAGAGAAGATACATGGAAGTACAGATATTTTATGCAAAAACTATTCATCTCTCTAGATCCGTCCCCAGAGGGCAAAATTACGAGACAGCAGCACAGAAAACACCACCATTGCAATGGGGTCAGATGTGTTTCTCTTAGGTGGAGTGGGGGGGTGAACAGAACTCCACAGGGAATGAGTACTCAGGTTCCTCTTACATCATGGAGACAGCAGGGTTTCTCAAGCCCGGCACTACCGATATCTTGGGTTGGGTCATCCTTTGCTATCTATGCAAGGTCTTCCTGCGCACTGAAGGGGGTTTAGTACTACCCACCAGGAGCACACCCCTCTACCCTCCCACAGCTGGAAGCACCCACAATATCTCCTGACATTGTGCCAAATCCCCCGAGCATCAAGCTGTTCACGAGCTCCAAAGCTATGCGTCTCCTACCTTCCTACTGTACAGTCGCACACCTTAAATCAGTCCCAACTCAGTATGACTTCCAGTTTTTCATAAACTTATCGCCAGTGCCTTCTGTCTAGTGTCTCGTCTTATTGGTTGAGGATAAGAGTGCCTGCCACATTCTTATGAGTGCTAAGTGAGATAGTAATTGCCAAGTGCCTAGGCCATGTTTATTAAGTGCTCAATGAACATGAACTGGTATTCCTTTAAACAGTCACCTGTGATCTCAAGAACAGTTTGGACTGGAGTATGCTTAATGTAGAAAGGAATCTTACCAGCTTTCTATCTTCTGAGTCTTGAACACACCAGCCTTCTGGTTCCTTGTGATGATGTCGCGCACATCTGTTGGACGTGGTTAAGAAAGCTACTGCAGCGATTGTCAGCTGTCTCAAGGAACAAAGTAAGAGAAGACCCACCATCATTCTCTTGGACACTGGATTCGTAGGATGGACAGGAAAGCGCCGTAGGGTATGAGACAGGTGCAGAAGCATCTAACCCTGGCTCAACCACCAAGTGCAGTAGGATTACCTACCACACGGAAGCCCTTTTATTTCCCCGGGCAAAGTTTTGTTACCCGTGAAATGCATGTTCTGGTGGCGTCACCTAAAGGTCAGGGTCATGAGTGTTGGCTGCAGGGAGGTGACTGTGCCAGAGGTCCCATGACCCAGTCACTCAAACCATCTGAGTCCTGGGGCAGGCCTCTTTTGACCAGCGAGGAGGCTGGTGGAAGTCTTGGGAGATACCGGAAATGCAAGTCTTTCCAATTGCCAAAATGTGCGCTGGTCAGATGGTGAGAAGTGAGAAGAGAGAGATGGAGAAAACTTTGGAGAATCCCCGGGAGGTCATGACCAACTACCAAAGAAAAAGCCAATCCAATGCAGCCCGTCGAGGCCTCCGCTTTAGCCTGTGGCCATTTGCAAGAACGTAGCCCCGACCAACAGAGCCGCTGATGGTGACGCTGCAGCTGAGGAGCTGGCCCACTGCATTCCACTGCATCCCGCCTTGCCATCCTTCTGAGGGCCCAGGAGAGAAACCACGCCAGGCTGCAACACCAGCAAAAACCACTCTGACTTCAACTTCTGTTCCCCTCTGTGCTCTGGCCCCTGTGTAACTCCCACACACAGGCACAACCACCTCTAACCACAAGGGCTCCAGTGGCACCCGCTGGTCTTCTCTCTACTGGCTTCCATTCCTGGGTCTGGGTTTCCTGGACTTTTTCAATTCCACACGCCCCCGTTTTATCATTTACATGAGACACCTTTTCTTGTTATACGGCCTGTTCTACGTATCACTGTAAGAAACCTCAAAATCCCTCTTTTGGAATAAGGTCGGTTGAAAGAAAAAAGGAATGAGATAATTCCTGCGAGGGCGGCACGCTGAACTCAATTGGGCCCAGGGGAGGAAACCCAGCAGAGAAGCGCCGCTCCCCCCCTCTCTCAGAGCAGGGATTTCCTGAATGCTCAGAGCCAGCACTGGCCCAGCTCTCTCTGCAAGGACTTTGTAACCCAGAGCTCGGCTTCCACCACCAGCCACACCCATTTCTCCTGGGAGTGAATAAGCAGGTACTGTGATGGCAGTCTGCTCCCAGGAGAGGGTAAGAAAAATCAATTAGGTCGCCTAATGAAAGGCTTTGTTGAGGTTTACAAAAGTGCTATAATGTCGACTTTCTTTCCTTTTCTTTCTTTTTTCTTCCTGGGTGAACTTTCCTGTATGCAAATTAAATACCGCTAAATTACATTCATTACAAAAATAAAAGAGACTAATTTGCCTACTTGTTTTGATTAACGAAAATGACACAATCGGCCTACACCGCTGTCTATTTCAGGAAGAAAAGTATTTCAGGAAAAGTCTTCTACATGAAACGTCTTGCCGGAAAGACCAGCTGACATCTTTATTCTGAGGAGCGCAACATTAAGTCAGCTGACAACTGTTTCTGCTTCAGCTCCTCCCCAACTCTGGCCACACCTGCCCCACGTTGTCATGCCTCCAGCCGCACGCCATCAGGTGTGTAGCACACCTGCAGTGCCGTGTGAGTGCATGACTGATCTATGAGGCCAAACATATTATTTCGTTAGTGGAGGTAATACTTTTCGATAAAATAGTCACGAGGAAGCTAAATTCTATAACTCGGGAAACCTATTAATAATTTTTTAGTAAACATCTTAACACTGTATACTTTTAGACAATTTACAAACCTGTGACTCCAGGTGGTCAAGTGGAAGCAAGCATCTGTATTTATATTCTAGAAGTAATTTTTCAAAATAAAACAAAAAACCAAACCAAAACAACCCACAACATTATTTGGCTATTTTATTTTTAGACCTCGGCAGGAAACAGATTTGGTGGTTGAAAGGGTGCTTTTTCTATTAAAACAAGGGCCCAGAGATTCCGTGGCAGTGGGGTTTTACAAACATTACCGTAAGAGCGCTATTTTGATCATCTAACTCACCACCCTGCACTTGAGGTGAGACTGTGAGCTGCTGCTGCTTCTGGACGGCACTGTGTCCAGTAATAGACTTTGTCATTCTCCTGTGTCACCGTCAGTGTAATCAGAGAAATCCAATCAAACGGAGGCCCTATGTCCAGGTTGGAGTTCAACACGATGGGCCAAATTGTGCTCCCTGAACTGCACCCAGCTTCTGGAGGACTACAGTGGGAGGTGCTGGGTGCAAAGAAAGCCTTAATGTGATTTCTGATTAAACGGATACGGAGCAATCACCTCCAATCTCCTTGTCTGGGCAACTGGATTTCGCGAGCTACAGGATATATGCTTGTGGCTGAAAGGAAACAGGATTCTATCTCTAATATTTCTTCTCAAAGCACAGTTCAGATGGGGGCTTCATGTTCACTTTGGTTCAGCTGACTCACACACTCACACACACACACACACAATTGAAGAGATGTAATAACAGTCATTCGATGGAAACGATAATAATAGTAATTTATGCACAAATTCCATTAGGTACCTTGATATGCATATATAAGGGTATTTAAAATATTATCTTCTTTCTGTAATTAATAATTGTTTTTATTTACCGGTAGTCGTATATACAATTCTGAAAGTTGGCACTCTAAGGAAGAGATAATTTTCCCAACAATAGCATACTTTGTTGATGTATACGACCTTTATTTTCATTAGACCATCAGAAGTGAGGGTCTCAAACTACGAGATAACTGAAATCCCACTAACGTTGATCTCTAAGCATTTTGGAAAATGTTTGGGGTGGCCCTATTTGCTCATTTAAACATACACAATCTTCTAGTGTGCTTATTACTGAAATGAAAGGAGAGGGTGCTATTACAGCACTGTGAAGTCTTGTGAGTTAACACTGGCTGTTCCATTTATGGGTAAGAGGCATTTTCTTCCAGAAGGTGCTAAAGAAATACAAGACATCATAAAGCAAACTGTTCTGGTCCTTGTGAAATAGAAAGATGGATGCGAGAAACAGTTACAAGTAACAACAAAGACGTGAGCCCTGAAGTCAAGTGAACCTGGCTTCTAGTCCGGGTGTTTCTGTTAGCTGTGTGGCTGACCTTGGGTCTATTAACCTCTCTGAGCCACATGGCTGAAATAGGAATCCTTACACATTTCTAGAGGGCTGTTGTAAGGCTCGACATGATGGATGGGCCTGACACATTCTGGTGGTGGTGGTGCCATTGTATCCATTCAATTCGTAGCGACCCCATGTGACAGGTCACCTTACAGATGTCACCTTACAGGAGCAGATGTCAGGTCCTGCCTCCTGAGAATCCAGAGTTGGAGTCGTTAGCCCAATGCATGTCCACTGATGATCTTTTTGAGGCCAGGGACAACCTTTGGTGGGATGGAGAGATGTGACAGTTAAGCTTTATTTTCTTTCCCCCTACTCGGTACTATGTGAACATTGATAATGTAGACTTAAAACATCTGGAGGAATTAGAGGACACCGGCCCTGGAGTTTCCTGCTGGCCTTCACAGGTATACTATGTTTCGGCAAGGGCCAAACCTGTGCGTCCTATGACTTCTGTCACAAATCTAGAGGGATGTTTTATACGAAATATGTGGTTCCTGGCTAACAAAATCACTCTTTAAAGGCATGCTTGCAACTTTAAATCCAAAGTGGTGCTTTTGTTATTGCTACAATTTTACTAATAGTTCCTTCTCGTCATTTGAAAATATACTTTTGGGGAAGAGGCAACAGGGGTTTTAATTCTACTTAATAGTGACAGTTATTCCAATCACCAATCTTTGGTGGCATTTGACCATCTCATAAACCAAATAATCAGCCACAAAGAACACAGTACTGATTTAAACTCCTCTACTATTTACTTAGAGCCTGAGTAGCATAGTGGTTACATGGAGGGCCACTAACAAAAAGGTCTGTAGTTCAAAACCACCAGCCACTCCTGTAAAGAACTACAGAAACTCACAAGGGTAGTTCTACCCTGTCTTCTAGGGGTCGCTGCGAATTAGAATCAACTAGACAGCAGAGAGTTTGGGGGGTGGTTGTGTGTGTATGGGGGGTGGGGGTGGTGGTGGTGGTGGTGAGTGTGTGTGTGGGTGTGTGTGTGTGGGTGTTTAATTACTTACTCAAAAAGCCCTGGTGGTGTAGTGGGCCTAGCTTTAGGGTGTGGACCGCAAAGTGAGCAGTTGAAAATCACAGAAGCACCAACTGCTCCAAAGGAGAAAGATGAGCGCTTTCTGACAGTCTCAGACACCCGCAGGGGCAGTTCTTCTTTGTCCTATAGGGGCAGTATGAGTCAGAATCCACTCACATGACTCAAATGACAGAGATTTGTGTGTGTGTGTGTGTGTGTGTGTGTGTGTGTAGGAACTGGTTCTTTATTTCAAAAAGACCCTTTCCAATTTTCAGTATCAAAATAGTTGTACTTTTGGTTTCCCGCTCCCAGGTGGCCCCCAAATGAGATCACACCATGGGAGGGAACATTTTCTGCCCAAAGCTACAGGATGCACATCCACCACACCTCACAGAAGCTTTCCTCAAAAGAGGGAGCGGGGTGGGTGGGTGGGGCATTAAAAGTCAGCACAGTCCAGCCTACAGACTGCAGAGTGAACTCACTGTCAGATGGGGTGGCCTGCGTACCCCAGCCCCAAATAAGCAGTATTTCTGAATAACATGAAATTTCAAAAGTGTTTTGTACATTAAAAAAGCCAAGATTTCTCCATCACAGTCTGATACAAAGCACTTTGAGAGACAGCAGTAGTCTCGGACCCAGAAAGAGTGATGAGATGGGTTTCTTCCAGCTAGAGAGCTGCATGTATTTTTATTTTCACTTACAGGTGGCGCAGTGGTTAAACGCTTGGATGCTGAACAAAAAGTTGGGTGGTTTGAACCCACTAGCCCAGCCCCAAGAGCAAGATCAGGTAGTCTGCTTCGGAGAGATCACACCCTTGGAAGCTCTATGGACTGGGGGTGGGGGTGGGGATGGTTTCCTGTCTTCCAGGGTCTCTGTGACTCAGAAATAACTCAAAGGTAATGGGTTTAACTTGAAGGAGCCCTGACAGTCTAGTGGTTAAGCACTCAGCTAGTACATGGTAACTCAGGAGTCCCAACTCTCCAGTCGCTCCATGGGAGAAACAGGAGGTTGTCTACTTCTGGAAAGATTTACAGCCGGGGAAACCCCATGGGGCAGTTCTACTCTCCCCTATGGGGTTGCTAAGAGTCACCATTGACTTGATGGCCAACTAACTGGATGAGCCAAAGGAGCTCACTTCCAAATGTGTCCTTGGTTTTCTCAAGGTAGAGTGGTGCCAGGTAGGGGGGCTCTAAGGTGCTTCTGTGAGGACTCAGGAGATCCCAAGAACACTACTCCAAGTCTGAGAAATATGCAGAACTTACAACATTCAGGCACACCTCAGCCTCAAACTCTTTTCAGGTATCCCTGTTCAATGAATCTCCGATCAACATTCAGCGTTTTGAGGTCTAGGCCGAGGGCGGGCTCTGAAAGACATCGCCAGTCCAGTGGAAACATTGTAGGAAATAGTAGATAAAAATCACAACTGGGTGATATGTTTCCATGAACCAAAGATTCAGGATTTATCCACTCACTGTCTTTTACATGTTACAAAAAAATAAATAAAATTAACCGAGGAGATAAAAAGGGACTATCAGAAAATGTCGTAAAAAAAGGGGAGGGGGGAGCGTTTAAAAATCAGAATCTTATAGGCTTAAGAGACCAGGAAGTCAGACTCAGTTGGAGTCATTAAATTCAGATGCCAAGAACAACCAAAATAATTTTTTTTAATGACAAGAGTAATACACAGGCCAATACTCAGATGTGATGTGCGATTGCCAGGTCGATTTTCAATTACATTTCACTGATGAATTCATTTGTTTCTTAATGTGCTCATCTTGCCCATTAAGAATAATTAGCAGCTTTGCTTAGAGATTTTCTGGTTTCTGGCAATGCGCCCCCTCCTCTATTTTTTTTTTTAACATCCACTTTTACTTTTTAGAAAGTAATTTTTAGATAATATCCTACAACTGCTATATAATTTAGGCTTCCTACAATTTTCAAGGAAAGCTGTAAACAGTAATTTTTAAATGGGTTTGTTTCTAGCTATATGCTTCAATAATATGTGAATCAGTGAATTAGTTATTCTTACAGAAAGTGGTGAGTATACAAATAGAAAAGGAGCAATATCCCATTTATATTAAGCTGAACCAGGAAAACAGATGAAGATTAATGCCAATTGTAAACTCCGTTAGCAAGTCAAGAATAACTGTATTAAGAAGGGAAAAATACATGGCCAATTTTTAAGACTTTACAATGCCCCCACCCCCACCCCCTTCTTAATTAAAAAAAAATTAGATCTAGTTACATCAGGGGGGAGGAAAAAAAGGCACACAAACCCAGAAGAACTGCCTGGTTAAAAACTGGGCCTTCAGGAAAGTCCTAAGAGAAGAAAGAAAACGCACTACCGGTTTTGGTCTGCATCCTGAAAGGACCGACTTTACCTACATGGTAAAGTTCTTCCCCTCCGGCCTTCTGGCACCCTGCTACATTAAACCCATTGTAAAACGCAGCACAATAAAGCACTCGGCGCCGAGCTTCTGAGGACCAAATGTTAAAAATCCATTTTCTTGGGAGGGGGCTGTACCAATCATTTCTTTGAAAGGCCAGCGGAGTGAATACGGCGTCAGAGATTTCCTGTCTGATTTCAAGGGCTGGCAGGGCATCCTGGCTGCTTAAAGGAAAGGTGCATTAATTAATGGCATTAGCATTTCTTCTCTCCTCTGGAGGCTCTGGAGTTTAGCTCAATAATCATTTTAGTACATTGAAATGCACATATGGACTTACAGAGGCTCTGGATAGTTTGATAACAGTTCTCATTTTGGGGGGTGGTTTGGTTTGTTGTTATTTTTGCCACTGTTTAATAAGACACCTGCTGCCTTGAGAAAAAACGGCAGGGTTCAATCTGAAAGTTTAGGTGGCTATAGTGACCTGCTTTTGCCTAACCCCCTGCCTTTTCTCTCGGTTTCCCTCCTCCTCCTCACCCCAAAAGCTCCGTTGGAGCGCTGGGAACCTGCTTGGCTCGGCCCTGGCGTGCGCAGGAGCAGCAGCCCGCGATGATCCAGTGCGGAGATCACGCCGCACACAGGGCCGTGAATGAACCCCCATCAGCTCATCTCCAGGATTATTTTGAAAAACTTGGGAGACAGTCTCGAGATCCTGATTAAAATCCTGCCTTTTGACAAAGGAAGCACCTTTGGGGATCTCCTCCTCTTGTGTGAAAGGCCATGCTTGTGATTGGTTCTTTTGCTTTCCTGGGGAAAAAAACTTATATATTTTTAAGTCTGTCAAGGCCATGAGCTGGGTGGGGCTGGGTGGCGCACACAAGGGTTGCTGCACTCTAGCAGTGGCTGCGCTTCGAGACCCTCCTTTCTCCCGCTCCAGCGGCCTGATGGCACGGCGGCTGCACATTTCATTTTCAAAGAACTCTGTGGGAAGAGGGAGCGGAAAGACAACCCCTCCCCCCAATAGATTTTTGAGGTACGATGCCACGTAAGTCCAAAGGACTTCAACATTGGAGGGGGCTACGTTTGAAATCAGGCCTCGCATGTAAACCACAGAGCAAAGGCCTGCCACTTCTCTTCTCGAGATCTTAACGGCTGTTCACCGTTCCTGAACAACCCGGCTCAGTGGCTACAGCAGCCACGGATCATGCGTGCTCTCCTCAAGTGCAGGGCATGTTCGGGAACTCTGGGCACACATCAGGAAAGCGCCATCTAATATAATGGCGTTC